AGTTGAAATAAGGATCTGAAGAGGCTTTCTTCAATGCCTTTGATACCTTTGAGTCACGCCAAACAGATCAGAGAGGTTAGAAGTGGATAAATGAAAGAACTTCTGCAGCAGGTATCAACCAACAGCACTTCCTTTCTACTTCAACATGAGCTAATGGGCTCAGTGCTTTAAATAACGTAGTGCCTGCACATACCTATGTTTGGCTGTAGTCGAAAGACTCGCATTGCCTTAAGCTTTTGAGGTAGATACTGCTCTGGATCAAAGGACAAAAAAGCAACATAGGAATGCAATGTGGCTGAAGTCACCGCTTAAACAAAATTATGCAGGAAATCATGCAAACCTTGTATGAGTTCAATGCTAGGTTCTCAGGTTTTTCAGAGTACCGGATCTACCTGTTCATGATTAACGCAAACCACATCCTAAAGCTGAGTAGAAAAAAAAAAAAAAAAGGCTTGAAAAAAAGGTATATACAGTATGCAAAGGAGCTATCTGTCAAAGCCTAAAGTCTTCCAGAAAACCTAGGGAAGAAACTACCAGTTTCTTCTTCCTCTTCTCCTCAACAATTCTGCCAACACTTGACCTGCAGTGCCGGACTACGTGTAGATCCCTCTACAGTCACCACACACAACACAGCCACTCACTGCCTCCAGGGAAAGTGCTTTGGAGAGTGCTATTGCAGAACTCCCAGTTTTTGGCTAAATCTTGACTAGAGATCCAAACAGCGTTCATCATGTGCATCTAAACAAGGTTTGTGGACCTTGGAAAATGGAACCTCTGAATGGGATTTGGACACAAGGCATAACCAAACTAGAAGCAAAGGCATCTTTGTCCAACTTGCAAGTTAATGATTGATAGGTGGTGGGGATCACAATTCAGACATCTGATGACACACTGAAGGAAATTCTTGGGGTTCCTCTAAAGAAAAGACTTCCTCAGTACAAAGGGAAGAAGCAGTAAGATGCAAGGAAGAACGAAACAGGAAACATACATCAATCATTTCTTACGAAGCACTGGAGAGATGACCCACAATCACTAGGCATTTCTCCACACGAGGCTCAGAACTGAACTCTGGCCCACAGCCACAGACAATACTGAAAACACTCAGCCAACAGTAATGTAAAAGCTTGAGCCCTAAAAAAACCTAATCCTAAACCTAAAGAGACATAAAAATATATACATAGTGCACACACTTCAATAACTATAAGGAAACCTGGCAAAAAATTATTTTAAATGACAAAAACTGACTGCTTTTTCCAACATCATCTGCACCAGTATTCAACAGATCCACTCTATTTAAAGACCCCTTCTGTTGGAGAGTTTCAAACTCAATTCACAATCCCACTTCAGAGTTAACTTGCCTACTCTCCCCAAGTTTAAAAGGGTAAGTTACAGACATGCAGACTGTAAACACATTACCACAGTGCAATACAGTAATTTCAGCAGACTCTCTCTGCAAGTGCCTTGATATGAAGGCATGATGAGGAACTTTATGAGCAAGACGATGCTTCCCATTTTGACACAACGCCGTTACAAGTGAGCCCTACCCAAGACCCTGACTTTTGAGTGCTGCATACGCCTGAACTTCAGGAGTTGAGTCTGTGTACTAAGGCCTAGGACAAGAAATTTAAAATACATCCCCTCAATTCCTTAGCCACACAGATGTTGTATGCTACCAAAAGGGGCTTGCACTACCAAGTGAAACTAGCACCGGTTCTGTGAAGCCTCTGTTGGTAACACACATCTTCCAGATTTCCCTCAAAGCTGGGGAACTCTTGTTCACTACTCCCATTTTTGATAACGTAATAAGCAACATAAAACCCCTTCTGAAAAGGGATTTTTAGATATACGTACGTCATTCATCAAAGGTAACACAAAGATTGCTGTGACATGTTTCCAACGCTTATCCATTCAGCCCTTTGTATCAAGTCCCACGATCATCTCCTCCCGCCCAGTTTTGCCTTCTCATTGAGAGAGAACCATTAGAGCAGACCCCAATCTTCTCTACCTTCCTTTAGTCAAACAACCTTTCTGCCAGCACCTTGGAGTTGGGCTGGGCAACCACGCTTTTTAAGTCTTGGTTTCCAAAGCAACATTCTCGCAACTCTCATTTCTTTCAGAAAAATTGCTGGAGCATCCAGACAAGGTCATTGCCTCTTCACATCCGTATCTTCTCTATTTTACTCTGTACTTCTTTGTATTTTTGTTCATCCAGTCCATCCTGTTGGCAACATAGAAGAGATGGCACAGAACAGCCCTCAAACCAAGCTGAAGTTAGGTTAGGATTTGTCAGCACTCCAAGATATTTGATCAGATAGGGTTGGATTTCCACAAAAAGTGTCAGAATATCAGTCTTAGACATTCAGATGCTGTTGTTCTCAGTGACTTCAACATGTCCAAAATTACAATACAAGGAGACTGTAATTGCCTTCGTAGTCATCTATTTACAGAAAACTGACCAACCTCACCTAAAGAGAGTAGATTCCTTCCCCTCGTAGTCAATAGTCACTGTTTTGCTTATAGGGCACTTTCTCAATCTGGATAATGCTACATCACCTCCTTCAGATCACACTGTTAAGGACGGGTTCTTTTTCTGCAGTAGCCATTTCTGAACACCTGATGCATATTTGTCAGGAGGTGGTGTTTGCTGTCCACTAAGGTGAATTTTCTAGACTCATTCTCAAGTCAACGTTCAAATTGTCCAAAAATTGTCCAAAAATCATCAAAAAGACTACAAAGGGAAGCTGAGAGGCTGTAGAACAAATAGGAGATCTGCCTGCAAAGGAGAACTACAAAGGGCATGGAGGGGCTGAAGGGATGTGGACAAAGCCAAGACTCAACCCTGTGACTGTAAAATTCTGGTTAACTTCTATGTAGATCATAACTATGTTATCAACGTAAGGGGAAGAGTAGTCTAGTCCATGTGTTATCAAAGAATACAACCATTTTGTGCACGCTGTTGACCAGTTTACATTTACCTACTCATCCATTCATGCATGGGCAGCACTACAGTTTAAGCTTAGAAATCTCAATCCATGTCTGGCAAAATACCTGTGCTGAGTCCTTATAGCTAAATTTTGCAGGTAGATTTCTGATAGCACAGGAATTCTGGCACGTAGTCCCAGGAATCACAGAAACATTTGAGTTAGAAAGGACCTTTAAACGTCATCTATTTCAACTCTCCTGTAATGATTAGGGACATCTGCAGCTAGATCCTGAATGTTTCCAAGGATGGGGCATCCACCACATCTCTGGGCAACCTGTTCCAGTGCTACACTACTCTTACCATAAAAAACTTTTGTGTTATATCCAATCTAAATCTTCCCTCTTTTCATTTGAAACCATTTCCCCCTGTCCTATCACAGCAAACCCTGCTAAAGGTTCTGTTTCCTTCTTTCTTACAGCCCCTCTTTAGATACTGAAAGGCCACTATAAGGTTTCCCCAGAGCCTTCTCCAGGCTGAACAGCCCCAGCTCTCTCAGCCTGTCCTCATAGAGGAGCTATTCCATCCCTTGGATAATTTTTGTGGCCCTCCTCTGAAGACACTTCAAGACTGCACACTAAGGCTAGGAAGTCTAGGATAGACCCCAGCCACGCAGTAGCACTAGAAGTGGAGGCATAGGGGCCCATTGCACGATGTGGTATGAGGAGAACACAAACTCATAGCATCCACAGGCACAGCTACAAATGAAGAAATATCAAGTGGCAGCAGGCTCTACATGGTAGATATTTGCTCTGAATGCCACTAGTCATAGAGAACTCCCTTCACGTTCTCACACTAACACCACACTATTTAGCAACCTGTTTTTTCTTGTAGGCAGAGCAGGATCAGGAATCAAGGCCCCAGCTTTCAGTTCCTTTCTGTAGACAACAAATCACTTCCCAGAAAGCAATTAACAGGTTTTATTGAAGCTATCTAGAGACCTACTTGAAAAACAATGAGTTTGTTTTATCATTTTGTTCTTGACTGTCTTATGTTTATCCAGATGAATGCTTGCAATCCTTAATGCAAAATAAATAAATAAATAAATAGTGTTTGTAATATTATGAGTTTTGACAAAAAGAAAAATACGAAGGATTATACTATACTACATTTTCATGAATGCAATGGAAAAATGAAGTGATAACAAGAGCTACAGGATGAACAACTTTCCTGGTCTCTTCACAGAACTAATTGGCAGAAAAATGAAAATACTCCTTCCTTTTAAAGCACTGAACTGTTGTAGGAATTGTATCTAAGCAGTACCATTAATCTGCACGCTGCACACCACAAAACCCACAACCGGTATGAAACTAATTCTGTTCCATTCCTTACTTTCAAAGCCTAGCTTCATAATAAATGACTTGGAGAGCACGTTCCAAGGACTGCATATGAATGATGCAAAGAACAAAAAATTCTGGAGTCAGCACAGAGAATGAAGTGCTTTGGGCACTGCACACAAAGCCCACAGCTATAAAACCTTGCATTTGTGTAAAAATTTAAAACTCAAAGTTCTCTGGCTCTAATGAACTGGTCTGAAAGCTCCTACAGCAGTCAGCCCATCAAACACATACCAGAGGTGTCAATATTGGAGTGGCATTCCTTTTCATTCCCTTCTCAGGCGAGGGTAGCAGTCTGCATTAGCTGAGAAGAAAGAGTCATGTTTTTGCATTGACACTCAGAAGAGAGTGGCACCTTGGGAGACCACCCAGCCCATTACAACCACTTTCATTTGCTTTACTTTGCACAAATCTTCATAATGAAACAAATCAGACATAAACAAGAACTTTTTGTTCACAGTGACTTTACAACTTCATTCCTTACACAACACTTTAAAATCAATCTTCGACCTCCCCCTTTTTCACTCCCAAGCAATCACAGGAAAGATTTCATTTTAAAGAACCATTTTAATGATGTCAGAAAAAAAACTAAAGGGAACAACCTCAGGTTATGAAAATATTCAATATTTTTATCTTAATATTTTGTTATTTAAATCTCACAAGAAGTTTGCATGATTGATAACAAAACCCTAAGAATTAAAGAGACAATTCAATCTGCTGTAGAATGTCAGCTTTTGTGACATCAACTGCATATCTTTGCAAATAACAGGCACTTACAAAGATTACCAGCTTACTGGAACAAAACAGAAGACATGAATTAATGAATACAAGAGTTCAAATTCTTTAACTTAAAACCCTTTTCTTCCAAGGTCTCCTCCAAGGTCCTAGCCTATAAAAAAGAACTGTTCCATGTCAATTAAAAAGAATTCTACAACTACATTCTGCAGATAAGTTAACTAAAGACTATGGTCCAACCAAAACAACCTAAATTTCACGTATGTCCTAGTACTTGTCAACTTAATTAGAATCTTTGGAGAGAGCAAAAGGGAAGCAGTCAATCAGCTTTACAGAAGGGACAGAAACAGAATATGAGGTCTCTCCACAGTCTGCATTGCTGCTATACGGATCAGCTTGCATGAGTGCTCTCTTCCACAGTTGTTCTCACTGCTCCCATAACAAACCAATTTGCATGGAGTTTAAAAAAAAAAAAAAAAAGGAGGTCCACTCAATGCTGGCTGTCAGCGTAGACTAAAATGATTCTGATATATCTGATAGATAATAAAAAAGTGAGTTGCAAGTGTCTAGTCCATTGGCAGCACTGACCTGCCAGGCCACGTGAGCAAGCAGCAGGCTTGTATGATTGTACAGCCCTTTTGTAGGCTTCTCTCCAGTTGCAAAAGACAGTAAAAAGAAAATCATAAAAGGGTTTCTGTAATGCGAACAGCATACAGGAGCACATTTTTAGTAGGCTTTGATGCTACAGTTATCTTCTAGATGGGCTCAGTTTCACAGTCCAAGGCAAACTCTGAAGTTACAACTTTTCTTTTTCAAGAGAATTTGAGTATTCAACTCCAGCCAGCTTAAAAAAAGTGTCTTTGAAGAATTTAAAAAGCTGTCTCAGCTAGACAATGTACTGATTAACATTGACTCTTTAAAAAAGGGGAACTGTGTTTAAACGAAACAGGAAGCAAAGTAGGGGGAAGGTAAGGAACTACTCAAATCATTATAGATGGCTCAGCCACATGTCTCTAACAAAGAGAGGGGGTGCATCAACTTCGTACTGTGTGGTTGCATTAATAATAGGTTTGTCTACAAATTCTATCTCACACAGCTGGGTGCTGCATGGAGAATGCTCCAGCTCCAACACTGTTATGTTGTTTGGCACTGATGAAACAAGTATATTCCTTGGAACAAAAAGGGTCAACTGAGGGCCACGGGCTGGCCAGTAGCGACCGAGATTAAAGCCGTTGATCCAAATTTGCCCCTGTTCAAAGAGAAAGAAAACATAATGAAGTTTTAATGATTTGACAATGACCAAATGACTGAACTTTTTAAAGCATAACATGCTTTGCATCCTAAGTGAGTTTTCTTGATCTTTCGTTTTGATAGGACACCAGGATAGAAAATCTGTTCAAGAAAATGCTAGAAATAACTGAATCTAAATTCCCTGATGTTTTGCTGATGAAGTGGTCAAATACTGCAGTCTTTCCAGATATGACAGTCCTTAGGAAAACAGAGTTGCAGATTTCTAACAGTGAATTTTATAACTAGTCTCAGACCAAAACAAGCCCTCAAAACTGTATTTGCTTGAAGCTGATTGCTGAAGAGAGAAAAGACTTGCAGAAGAAGAAATCAGATTCTAATTCTTCTGTGGCCACATGCAAAATGCAATACTGTATTATCTTTGTACTTCTTTTCTTTGCATGATTTTAGAAAATAAGATGTACAGCTTGCCCAGGCACATTAAATTCCAATGTTTATTATACTTTTAATAGTTTAGTTAACTAAGGAACTAAGGAAATTGTGGAATTACAGTACAAAGGTATTTTACATTGGTTGAAACAAAATTTTTGAGGTTTTGCTAGCACTAATGCAAATTCAATGACATTGTGGTTAATTCAGCATCCAAACTCTTTACTTTTTTATAATAGAAGTGGCCCTAACAGTTTGAAATACTGTTCTAACATCATAAACATCCCAAATAAAAAATGGGAAACAAGAAAATAATGTAAAAGTGAAAACTGTCGTATATACACCAGAAAGTGTACACACTGCAGTGAAACAAATATAGGTTTTTCCAGATGTTTTGACATTGAAGAGATGCTAAATGTTCAGTAAAACTGCAAATGGATTCCTGAGATGAACTGCACTGTTCATTAGAAAAGATACAAGCTGATCTGGACAAACCATCTGCTTTTATTCTTAAGTGTCTGACACATGATGAAAAGGATGATTCACAAAGGGTTCAGCAGCCAAGGAAGAAGATGGGAGTAGATAATTTAATTTGTGTTTTCCTTCTTGCTTTAGACTTTAGTAATCTGAATGCAGGGGAAATGTAGTCATGGCATTTATGTATGTTGATAAAAATTACAAAATAACCTGAATCTAGGATTGCCAAAATTCAGATAATACTTTAAAGAATTACAGAAGCACAAATGTAATATACTGAATCTTACTGTTTCAGGTGTTTTGGAGGCATTTTTTTCTGCTTTCTTTTTTCTAGTATTTATTAAAACAGCTTTTATGAAACTTGAAAGATACATTTTTAAGGAGCTGGTATATTTGTCAATGCAGATGAATTATTTTATCTCTGTATCCATTACCACCATTTAAGATCCTAAATCTTACATGCCAAGGGGTAAATAAACTTTGACCTCAAACTTTTTTTTCATATTTAAATCAAGTTCATCTTGGTTCATTGTTTGTAATACAAGCAATACATCTTGTCCTTTAGGACAAGAGAAGCTTTTAAAAATCAAGTTTATTACTTCACTTCTATACTAGTTTTATCATAAAATGTGACATTAACACAAGCTGCCCACCCAACACACAAAATGAATTTGCAAATGCACTTATTACACAGTAGACTAATAGACAGGGTGAGTGTAACCTTCTGGGAAGTAGGAGTTTAGCGTAGGAATCAGCTGCATTAAAGTTCTAATGCAGCAGGTAGGCTCACACAGGTCTTAGTTTCTGATCTTAATCTTGTTTTTCCAGTAAAATCATGAACTTCATTTCTCATTTCCAAACTGACATTTAAAACAAGAACAGCACAGGCAAGGAGTGAATGTCTATCTTCAGAAACAAGATTTCCTCTATCAGGGTCAGCAATTACAACCCATGATACCGCAGAAATGAAGAACAGTCATAACTGCAAATCCTCTTTTTTATTCAGATTAAAAAACTAATAATAATCTGATAAATCTAACCATATATCCAGCAACATGTCCCATTAGGAACACCATGCTTCCTAAAGTGAGAATGGAGGAAGTTTTGTTAAGAGGAAAGGTTTTAAAGAACACCAAAGGCGAGTGAGCTACAACACAGGTCATGACTGTTAATGCAGCATCTTCTGGGTTATCCAGCATGTCATATTCCTTGTCTTAATATGCAAAGGTAGGATGCTACTAAGAACTGCATGTTCTCTTAACAAGCATTGCTTGTGTGGATTTTCAAGTACACAAACACCTGGGTTTTTAATCCTATTAAGAGTTCCTCTCCATACCTTGCCATCAGCAATTTATACAGTGTCACTCAAGGAATTAAGACCCATATCCAGCAGAACTTCAGCGGAATTTAATCTCTTACAGCCCTCTGCCTTAGTAGGCATTTGCTCATTGGTAGAGTTATCTGCAAGTCCAAGATTCTGTCTTTCTTCTCCCCAGACTCAACCTTTCACCTCAATCTTATTAGTCCTGTGTACCTTATTAATTTATTTAGTCAAATCCATACAAAGCTTGAAGGATCCATCCAATAACCATATTTACATTTTGTCTGGCATCTCTTCTCTTTGACCTCTTCAGAGGGTATACCAACTACATAAAGCAGAAGTTTACATTCAATAGATCAGATGAAAAGATACCCACTGACACCTAAGAATTCCTGGACACATTTGCCTTTTCAAAGATAGGAAGATGGTTTGTGATTCATTACGTCACAGAATTTACTGCGAAAGTTCCAGATTCCAGCTCCTGTGCAAATAACTGTATTTTTATTTTATTCTGTGATTGTGCAAGATACGTACATGTACAGAAACAGAGACTATGAGACTTCCTCATCCAAGCTCAGTGCAGGCAGCACAAAAAGCCTGCAATGAATCAGTCTTCTGCACACTGGAAAGTTTGTTAACCACTAAAGTGCTGTACACACATCACCAGCAACTTCTCCTACTCTGCTTTAATAGCAGTAAGTAAAGTGTTTCAGAAAGAAATAACTTTGCTACCTAACTCCATCACTCTGATGTCTGGAGTTAATTCCTGAGGCCTCCAAAGGGAGTGATGTTTCAGTTCACACATTCTTGCCCTCCGTGTCTCCCATCAGCAACATGAATAGGTCATCACCCATTTTGCACACTGTCTCAAACACAGCACCCTGAAAAAATACTCTTTTCTGTTCTAGCTATACTCCAACCCTGTCAGAAGTTCCTATTAATGGACACCTGCTCACAAGCTTCTTGTGGCATTGCTCTCTGACCCATTCAGTCCAGCCACAGGTAAGCACCAGAAGACAGTGTTACTGACTGTCTGGATCCATACTGACGGACACTCTAGCAGTACCCAACTCTCTCTACGCTTTGTAACAGGATCCATAGTTTCTCATACAGCTCCACAAATACGTTATAGTTACTTTTAATTAAACAACATAACCAGAAAAGTATCCTCTAGCATCTCACTTTCTCCAGGAAAAAAAAGTTTTATCTCAAGGCACATATACACTCCTTCATTCCAAAAAGCTGTTTCTATTCTACACTGAGACAAAACAAACAAACAAAATCAACCCACAACTACTAAATGCAGCATTTCTAAGTAGTCTGTCAGTTCAGCTTTCTTGCTCTTGGTTGTTGTTTTTTCATTCGCCCTTTTCTAGGCCAGTACTATGTACCTTTTGTTTCCCTCCTCTTAGTGGTTTACCTACAGATTCACTTCAACCAAGGAATCCACTTCCTAGTCATTCAAATATATTTGACCACAACATACTCCTACCAAGCCACAGAAAGGTGGACTTTGACCTTCCATAGAAGTTTTAGTAGCTGTCTGAGTAGACTTCAAGTTTTAACAGCAAAAGTTGTACCTTTGTCCAGTCAGGAAATTTAACATAGGTGTCTTGAGGCAAGTCTGGAATCCCTCCAGGAATTGAAAGTGTACCAGTGTAAAAGGCAGGTGCTTCGTAACTCTGTGGATTGCTACCAGATCTCTTTGGTTCGCCAGGGTAGCCATGAATGAAATGGTTCACTGCTCCATCTATATTTAGAGGATAGATTTCCCATTCAACAAGTATATCTTGACCAAGAGTTAAATTTGAAACTAGACCCTAGGAAGAGAAGAAAAAAAAAAAAAAAAAAGACAACACTGAAGTTATTCAGATGCAATTATAAACCAGGAATAAAAACTTTTCTGAGTCAAAGATGGAAAGACAAGTATCTGGGCTTCAAAAAGTTATAAGTTCTGCTTAAGAATCAAGGTTGAATTTATTCTCTGTGAAAGTGCTGTTCCTTTTACAAAGTTTTGAGCTTTCTCTGATGTCCAGGTCTCTCTTTCAATCTTTTTTTTCCCCATTAACTGAAAATGTCTACTTTTCTTTAATATGAACATGATTCAATAGTACAGGACTTAATAAAAAGCAGAAAAAGGGTCGTGTAGCTTAAGTTTTGAGATAGCATCTAGAGATTTGGTAACATTGAGTCACTGACTCAAGATATAAACCTGCACAATGGCAGAGAAAGCAGTATTTACTTCCTACAACCTTTTACAGCTAGCGTACAGTATCACAAAATCAATGCACATGCTTCATGACCCCGATTCAGTGAAATGCTTTACGTTTACAGTCAGCTTCAAGCCCACATAGAACCTGTTTCCGTTTCCATGGAACTCTGTGCAGTCTTGAAGCACACCAGGGTAGTCACACAATGAATGCAAAAGGCAAGGCTACATCCATATAATGCTTTAAAAGGGGTGAAAGGAATGTGAAGTTTCTCCTGAACACACTTCTTAGTTGTGTTACTTTAATGATCTCTAAAGCCGTTTCACTGCAAAATGAGGAATTAAGCCAATTCTGCTACATCCATATCATCGCCTGAACAGACCCTGTATAGAAGCTGTTTTTCAGTACAACTGAAGTTCTGTTGCAAGCACTGCAAGATGAACAGGAACAAGAAGTTTTTATGAATAAAGGCACAAGCAAAAACACATTTTGTGTTATCATGGAGGGCTGACAATACATAGTGTGTCTGTACTGATGTCTAATAAACATTCCACTGACATCACAAGCCTAGTGATCAGTATAAGCAGAACAAGAACTTCTTTTTCTTACATGAAAATAAAGTATCCGCACAGAGTTAAGTGGCAGAATTCTTCTCCTAGACTTTATCTGACAATCACTTGGAGTAATGAAACAAAGCTTTAGCCAAAACTTTCTAACCTGTTCTCACCTACCTTTAGGTGTTAAAAATGGTGTGGTTTTCAAATGAGTTGAGGTGCCTAAAAGCACTCTTACTTTGGTCAGCATAAGAATGCACACGCAAGAGATCAGACAGGGATATGAATTTCCCAAGTAAAATAAAGATATAAATGACAGTGAGCATGGAAAAAAGAAAAAAAAAAAAACCCAGAAACCACACTCTTCCTTCCTACATTTCCTTCAACAACAAGGCCTCTACCAGCAGGATGTTTTAAAACCACTATCTGCTTAAGATTCTTTCCCAAAAGACAGATGCCAGGTTCCACTTCAAACTCAAAAAAGTGAGAAAAAGCAGCTGAACAAAATTCAGAAAAGCTACCCTATTGCCTTGAAAGTCCAAGGCTTAACAACATGGAAACCTCTTCCCCTAATGTTATTTTTGAAGCCACAGAATATCTAAAAGCAAGGTAAAATTATTCCCCATTTTCAAAAATCAACACAATGAATATCTGCCTTAAGGTATTCTTTGTGAAGGAACCTATGGGAATAAGCAACACACATTTTCCAAAGCTACATGGACAATGTCTCCTTCTGCATGAAAGGACTGTGCTTTTAGAGGTTTATTCTCACAGTGGACATCTACTATATTCGCTTTCACTTTATCTCTGAAAAGGTGGAACCCTGGTATAAGTGTGAATTTCAGCTTAACCACAGCAGCACTGAGCACCTCCCTACTCCAGTCTCTAACACTTTACTATATTACTGTAGGTTAGCAACAAGTACATAAATTTCCTTATCACCTGGACTGTTACTAAATAAATCAACATAAAAACAACATTGCTGCTGCCTTTAGATGAAAGCAGAACACTGGGGAACTAGCTACTCTCTTGCCACTCAGAAAAAGAGTAAAGAGACTTGAAATGACAGTCCAATTAAGCACTAATTCTACCCTCTGAAATTGCATGTCAGAAACACAGAAAATACTCAGATATTGATACCTTAATTCAGAGACTTTATACATCCTAAAATCTAAGTTGCTTTGCCTTGACTAGAGTCTTGGAATAACTGGAGATAGACCTAGAAATTCACATCACAACACACTTGATAACTAGTCAACTAGTCACCTTTAAATCAAACCTTCTCTGCTGCTTAACCATAAACAACAGATACTTCTTTATCAATGCAAAGATGCCCATCCTTCTCACAGCAGCAAATATCAAGTGTGAGAACAGGTGATTCTGCCTGCTGGTGATCTCACATGACTCCTCCCAATCTACATTTCACTATTAAACTGGATTTTGTAACAGGCCCAAACTCAATCCGAGTTTAGAATCTCATCAGCAAAGGAAGGTAAGATTTATACACTCTTCCTGCTTTCTCACAGCACACGTGCCTTTGGTTAATAACTCAGTGGTACAGTTCAGCATATGCCTTCATTCCCATGACGTTTTAACTTTCTCCTGCTGTTGCATCCAATCTAACCAAGATACACTTTGGACAAGTCTCAGTTCAGCTCACAGACAGAATTTAGACTGAGAGGAAACATGGGCTTCCACCAACTGGTGTCACCTGCAGTACCAAAGGGAACCACAGTCACCAGACAGTTATTAATCTGTACAGTCAAACATTTGACCAACATTGTGAAAGAACACTGCCAAATCAATTTGGGCCAAGTCTAATGACAATTTACAATAGATTTGTGCAGTTTGGGGCTTGCCATTTTCAACTTAACTGTAAAGCTTTCTGTCATTACCCTGATACTATTTGTAATCTACTAACATCAAAAACTGAAAAAGAAAATAAAATAGCATGCCGTGAACACTGCAGAAACACATCAGTCTGGCCTCTATAACACTTCTCTCCCTTTCTTTAGAAAATGTCACTCAGCACTGGGAACCCCCTTACGTCTAAAACCAGATAACTTTCCTTTTCGTCCCCTGCTTTCCTCAGTGTTTTTTTTTTGTGGTATTTCTGCTAATGGCAGAAGGTGACAGCTCCAAAGCATAGCATGGTTTTGAGAGTGTTTGGAAGCTTTCTGAAGATTACCTCTATAAAATCAGTCCAAACCTGAACTGGCAACGTGGCATGGTGAAGTATTTGCAAGACAGCCTCACATCACTGCACTGAAAATGTTGCAGGAGTACACTACAGACAAATGAAATGGGACACAGAAAGATACACAAAAGTATGTGTGCACACATAAATACACACAGAAATACAACCTCAGGATTCACAAGCTGCTAAGCAGGACCAAGACTAGACAGATTTCCTACTTATTTTTGGATTTATCCAAACAGTTTTGCACATCTTAAAATTTCTCCCTACCTTGAAGTCATTATTGAATCTTCCGAAGTTGACTCGGCCCATATTCTCTACTATGATGTCCAGATTTGCTCCAGCATTTCCAGTTATATTTATCATTAGTGACTTGTCCCTTTCAAGGACTCCTTGCTGAACCTATATGAATTGCACCAAAAAGAAGAAAACAATAATCATTGAACAAAAAACCTCTACCATCTCTCTCTTCAATTTACATGAATAACAGAAAGGGGTGAAGGTAAGAAACAAATGAAAGTTAAATAAAATGTTTTCCTTGCCTGCTTTTACACACCAGCATGCACTCACACACAAACAATCCAAAACCTGGTATGTAAACATTCATGTTTCAGAACATCAGCTAGATGTACAAGTCGCATTGGTCACACTGATCCAACTGAAATCATCTATTTCAGTAGTTCAAGTCAACTAAATCAATTTTCAAGTTCTAGTGGCTTTTGCTGCACTTGATTCACAAAACATTAATCTAGTAACTGAAAAGATGTTGTAAGTGTCAGAGATTAAGAGATGATTCATGTCCCAGTTAAGCTTACATCAATATTTAGCTTTACTTATTTCCATTCTCACATCAGGAAAGAAGAGCTTGACATGGCAACATCAGTGAACACGCTGCAGCCAGCCATCAAGTGTTTGCGCATACATGTGTGTGTATGTATGTATATCAAAAAACTTCAAGTAAGCAGTAATTTTTCCTACTTATTTTTCACTGATGTCATGAATGTGTATCAACATTCAAGTACGTCAAAAATGGAAATCATGTTTTGTAATTTCTGAAACATTACTACAAACGTTTAGTACAAATCAACTACATACTTTCTTCATCTTATTAAATGATATTATTTGATAAAGTTGTTTTGGTAAGCTGAAGAAAGGAGACAAAAAGCAGATTGTGTTCATATCTTTCATGAAGGCCACTTGTAATAGTAATGGAGACCAGCAAACAGTGTTTACCCCATCCACAGAGACATAGGCACGATCACGGACTCCATTTAAAGGTGAACTCAGTTGTGTTGGCTCTGTGCAGTTTTTTGGAAGCTTCGTTCTGTACAGTACAAATCCAAAATACTAAGAAAAGGAAAGAAAAAAAATCCCCAGATTAATCAACTAAGTTATTCTCTAGCTTCAATTGTGGTCATGCAGTAAAATGTACTCACGCTGAAACAAAACTTTCATTTGCTTCAGAAAACATCTACCAGAGATACCAGCTTCAGATTAGAGTTCACTTTGACTTTTAAGTGATGTGTGTAAATTCCAGTTTCCATTTTGAATTGTTCATCAGTAAATTTATGCAACTATAAAAGACAAAAGTTTTGGCTAAAAATTTGTATTTCCTCAAAAAACCCAAACCATTAATGACTAACAGTATGATTTCTTCATTACGATCAATTAAAAATAGATGAAAAATCTTTTCATAACTGACTTCATATAACAAAGAGCACTTTGTCAACCAACACATTCATCAGGTCAATATTACCTATTTTACAAATTATCAGGAACATTTCAGAATATTTTTCACTAAGTTCTCCAGCAGTAAATAGAAGTCCCAGTCATTTGATCTTTTTTTCTCATCACAAAGTGAAACACAAATTAAAACCAAGAAAAAAAGGCATATTGTCAGCAGCCACAAAACCATTTATCTTCAAGATTTGGATTAGAAGATGGCAGGAAGAAGGGAAAGTAAACCATTTCCAGTCCGCTATCATTATGACATTTACCTTACATTTGTAACAGGGTACCCAGAAAAATGAAAAGAAAACGTGGGAAAATATTACGCAGCTCAACCGAATGCCGTCTCAGAAGCTTTCCTAAACAGAGTTCAAAGGTGGGAAGGACAGAGGATGAAATAAAGGCCAACTAGATAATACATTCTACTACAACGTACTACTTAGTGAAGCTTCTCTAGCACCTCTCTATTAGCGTCTTAGAAACGAAAAACTTGAACTTTCAATCCCTTACTTGATTAATGCCTTAGAAAACATCCCAGGCACCTGCTGAAATGCATCTGACAGGCTATTAGCACCCATGTTCCAGTCTCTGTTAAATTCAGCACAGAAGGGAGCCATATACTGTTAATGGAAATACATTGTCACTCAGCAGCAAGGGAAAGATCTTCCTTCCACTGTGGGGGAAGATACGGAAGTCACCACAATTGACGGGGAGATTGATGCAGAGAAACAGAGAAAAATAACAGAGGGGAGAGTGGGAGTCAGCAGAAGCTATACCAAAACACAAAGTTATGTATTTTTCTTATCAGCCAGTGAGGTGAATGGCCTGGGAAGTGAGTTTCAACACAAAACATTTCTCCTTCACCACATCTTCTCTTGAATTAGCATTTAATAAAAGAAAAGGACAAAAAAAAGGTAGAAGTCTCATAAAAAGTGTCAAATGGATTGCATTCCCCAACTCCAGGATCCCTGACCTTCATGAAAAAGCATTTTTCATCCATTGCTCTCACTCTGACAGCAGGTGAGGAAACAAATATATATAGCATATATCTGCACTCATGAAAAGAAAATCTTGAGTGCAAAACAGTAGGATTGTCAAATACGGAAAAGTCTCCTATCCAAAAAATCCCTTCCAGCACTATTACTTCCTGTGCTGAAATAAGGTGTAATACACTGGACATAAGAGCAGTCATACAATGGAGGGATGTTCAAATAAACTTGGCAAAATAACTGCAAAATGCCTAACAGAGGAATCCTTACCTGCTTGAGCTGAACAAAAGTTAACGGGTAAGTGCTTTTCACTGGTCCAGAAGGTGACAGCCTATCAAGAACCTCCACCACAGTGCCCACCTGCAGCACAGAAAAAGCAGTAAAATTCAGTCTAAATGTAACTTGGTTTTAGAAACTTTAAGGCTGTAACTTAGTGTTACATATAAATAAGTGGACTGATTTTAATAAGACCAGCAAAAAAGTACAGGCTAGTCGCATGCTTAACTACCTTGCTGAATAAGGAAGGTACATACATACAATTAAATTGCCTTTTGTTGCCATCTGCAACTTAAGTTTGTGCTTATACAAGTTTTCTGCTCATCCACAATCCTATCTGAAAATCAACTATGAATGTGAATATTGGTACTCAAGATGTACCAATATGCTTAATATTTAACAAGCTCAAGAAGTCAAAAGCATTTATACTGTTCATGTAAGATCTCAGTCTGTTTTACTAGAAGTACCATCCCTGTTACAGTAATTATACACAAGGCATCCCAGTACTTCCCAAATGCAGATTTGCTTTCAAATACTCACTAAAAAGAACAGTAAAAAAAAATTAAATAAATAAATCAGTTTTTTCTTTATTGTAAATGCCTATCTCTATGTTCATCCACAGCAATACAAATTCCTTGGGCTAACGAAATAATGGAGATATTAAATTTTTGTACAGTACATATAAAGAGAACTGCTGAAATAATAAAATATATAGCAATATACACTGCTTGGTTTAAAATCCTTCTATATGTGACAGAAGTAATCATGAATCATCTATGTATCTACAAGTATTTCTTCAGTAGTAGACACAGATCTAAACAAACTTAGCTCTAACTAGAAACAAGAGAGCAAGAGTAGACCATAAGCACACAAAGGGCAACACTTTCACTACCTGAAGGTTGGGTCTTACTCAGTAGTTCACAGCTAAACACCTTCATTGAGGCAAAAGGCTGTCTGTCAAATGATGGCTTCCAAATTTCTCTGAAAGTAGCTTTCTCCTACATTTTCACCTTAGACACTTCACTTAAGATGACAATCAGCTTTCAAGGAGTAAAATTCCCCAAATTGATGGGGACAGGTGTTGCAGGATCCAGTACGCCATGGCAGATTGAACCACTGGATCTTGTCCAAAAGCTTTGAAGCAAGGAATGAGCATCTCTGTATAGATACTATAAGATTTATGGAACTAAAGAACAAATCTACAAGTATTAAAAGCCTAGGCTACAGGTGGACAATAAAACTAAAAATGGACATAAGTGGTATTAAGTCATTTGTGGTCACTTGAATTGCCTACTAACAGGCAATGAGTGCTGCTTTGGACCTTCGTGAACTGAGAATTAGCCTATAGATGTGCCTGTCTGAAGTTCTTCTAAGCTTACAATATCAAGGGGACTTCTGTTCCACAAGTGAGTGAGTTATGTGTTTGACCTATCCACTGGTTGCTAGAAACTCATTTCTTTGCAATCTTTTATTAAGCTTATCACTCTTAAGTGATGTGCACAAAACAAAAATCAAGGTCTGCTTTTGCTGCATGTTCCCACTGATTACTACACAGCAAACAATTACTATCATAACAGAAACAGTAAATTTAAAAAATTACCAACTTGGAACTTGGTCAAGAATTTCTAAAAATAATCTGTGCAGAAACAAACAAACAAAACAAAAAACCAATCAGATGACTAACAAATAACAGCAACACTTTCTGATCCTCCAGAGCAAATTTTCAAAACCAAAGTGAAAGGCCAAACATGAAAGAAAGAAAACAGCTGCAACAGAAGTGGTATCAGTGGTATACTGGCAGCATCTTATCTGCTTAAACTATTTGTGCCCCAAATTCTGTCCCTGACTCAAACCTCTCAGATTGCCTGCTACCATATTCATAGCTATTACTTAAGCTCTTCACAGCCTAAGAAGCAAGCACGACTACAAGATCTACAAGTCTGCAGGCCACAGTGCTGGAGCAGGCATTTCACTGAGACCACACACTCCTCAGGGCCCCCTGAGTGGTGACCAGAAACTACCACCTGTTCTCAAGCCTTCAAGGCCACTAGACACACTGTGGGCAGGAAGACACCTTCATTTGCATCTGCAGAGAATGCTTCCAACATTCTGGGTCTTAAGCTCTGCCTTCTTGCTCAAAGCTCTTGAGCCTATCTATTGCTATTCTACCTAGAATCATAGAATTGCTCATTTGGAAAAGATCCTCAAGATCATCGAGTTCAACCACAACTCAACCATACTACCCTAACTCCAACAACCCTCTGCTCAATCACGTCCCTGAGCACCACATCCAAACAGATTTCAAACACATTCAGGGATGGTGACTCAACCAGCTCCCTGGGGAGCCTATTCCTATGAATATTCCTATTGAACCTCTGCCTGTCTTTATTCCCTACCACCAATACATTTTTCTCTTCTATCACTGCAACAAGCTATTTCCTCATTGCTTGCTTTTCTGTCCTCTTCCATAGCAGTGGCAGCATCCTTAGGTCTATTTCTTAATAGGTCCTCCCTTTCTTTTCCCTCCAGAATAATTCTTTAAAATCATTCAGCAGCTCAAAATGAACACCTGCCTCATAAGGGAACAGCGGAGGGATGGGTGAGAATGTTTTATTGTTTTATTTCTTTACAGTTAGGCTGAGTTCCCAAATTACTTTGAGCTAGGGAAACCTATTTGCAAACATCAAAGTAGTAATAGTAGCACAAAAACCTCTCCTCTTCAACTACAGGTAATGAGCTGCTGATCAAGCACTGAATTGTCCCAGAACATCTTGTGGGAAAATGAGAGGGTAACCTGGTCTCTAAATTACATGAGCCTCTGTAAAGTACTCCATGCATCCACTGAAAACACTCTGGTGTCCGTTCCCTGTTTCTTTCTGCAGAAAGGTCACAGCAGTTGGTTCATAGCAGTGGATTTGATGCTCAGTGTACACAACTAACTGCTGAACTCCAACTGCATAGTGAAGCTTTCACATTGTATCTGTTCCAGCACTGTTAGTGCAAATTGCTACAGCTGGGAAGACTACTATTATAGAATCATAAAATATCCTGAGTAGGAAGGGATCTCCAAGGATCACTGAGTCCAACTCCTTGATTATCAAAGCAAAGTTACATTATTTCCAACATTTCCTAGTCACCCAAATACATTCAGATTTCTCTAGACAAGGGGCATTGAATCTTGTCACAATAGGAGTGGACAGCTTTGGCAGGAACAGTACAACCTTCTGCGACTTGTGACTTGTTCTGTGTTGCACTTTAACTAAGCAGAGGAGTAAACAGCAGTTGAAGTTAAACAGTGAGTTTGCAGAGGAAAAACAACTTTCTTACCAGAAAACAATTCTAGAGGCTTTCAGTACAGATGGCAATATATTTACAGAAAATGACTGGAACCTCACACCTGACAGCTTAGAAATGCCATCTTGCTTTCTAGAACTGCTGGGTTCAGAATAAAATACACCCCCCTCAAGCAAGCAGGAAGTGTTGGAGGTAGAAGGTAAAGGAACAGAGTTTCCAGTGTGATGGTCAGGTCAAAGCTGTGATACTTGAGCCAGTTTAATCATTTTCCCTGACCATCTGTAAGACAGGATTCTGGCCATGATGCTTCATTTCTTGGAGACAGAAAAGAGAAAATTCGTAATTCCCATGAAACTGGACTGCCCTATCTGAAAGGCATAAATCATGATAAAGAGCAGAGGCAAAATCTGATTGCAAGGTTCCTGAGTGCCTGCAACCCACTATAGCAGCAGAAGTGGTGGGTGTACAGATAACAGTATAAAATTAGTCACTACCAAATGTAACCAATTCAGTGAAACCTCATATGGCAACCTTGACCCAAAAGGTCTAAAGATACGCAGAGATTGCTGAAAATGATATAAATTTGTGACAAATTCAAAAGTTGTGTCACTTTTTCAAAGAACTGATTCCTGCCCACCACTTGTGTGGGATGACTTGAAAAACATCTACAAAGCCTTATCACCACCAGATTTTCCAACACTGCAGTGAAGTAACAGATCAGATAAACTGTGGATTGGAACAGCGGCTGCCAAATTAAGCATACAAAATATAAACTGAACTGTTATGAATTACAGTATTTACTACAGCAATCACAGTAATCTTCCACCTCCAAACAGTTTGACTGGAAGCAGCAGACTGAATAGAGACAAGTTCAAATCTGCTTGTCTCCTTTAATCCCCTAGACCATATTTTACACCCAGTGCAGGAAACAAGTTATCAACCGTTTCATAAAACTGTCTCTGACCATGAAGGATGCTGCTATGGACAAGTCCCAGCTACTCATGTGCTGATCAGTCACATGTCAGTTATCAAAGAAGATACAGTGAGGTTGACTTCCATTTGCTTTCCTTCAGCAAGAAGTTTCTTTCACTAGTTACAGATTTTCACAGTTCTTGAAGAAACTATAGTGACCAGACTTTCCAATTCATTAGAAGTGTTCAATTTTCAAATTTCTCAAGTACTCAAAGTATTTACCTAAAAGATACGTAGATACCACTTATTCCTTTACCACCAGAGGCATCACCAACTATAGAAACATATTTCTTACGCTAGCGTTTCTCCTGCTACATTACTTATACAGCAGTTCTCAGACAACTAAGACTCTATTCTGCTAAGAATGTGTTACTTCTAGGTTAGTAAAACTTCATGCACAAATGGCAGGTAGTAAAAATCATTTTTTATATTGAGATAACATATAGTTATTTTCCAGCAAGGGCATGGTTTCTAATTCCCAAGCTCTGTCCTACCCTTCCTGAAAACTTGCTTTTGAGGTTTTCCCTCCTATTTTGTATGATATCTAGAGACTGTCACGACACTTTCAAACACATCAAAAAAAGAAGCCAACAGGCAGCATTACAGAAAGATACACTTAGCATATTACAGATACCAATTTACCTTCTGCAAGCGAACCTTCCCATAGGCGAATTTGGATGTTGTTGGAGGGATAAGACCTTCTGGTAACTGGTTATACTAGGAAGAGAAGGAGGGGGAAAAAAAAAAAATACATGAAACTTTAATACAAACTTCTTAACTGAATTCTTGCTTTTCATTTTACAACTTATGAAAGTAGAACTCAAGCTGAAAGTACATAGTCCCCCTGTGCTAATGGATTACACTGGCACCCAGTTTCAGAGGGAGGCTTCACAAAAAACCAATCTGATTGGATCACTTGCAGTAAATACAGGATTGGATTTTTTTTTTTTTTTTGCAACTGCTGAACTCAAGATAACAATGTAAAAAATAAAAAAGCAAAACCCCCCCAAAATAAAAAAGACAGCAAACTAAGAAGCTGTCACAGAATCACAGCGTTCTTGGAGCCCTCCTGTGGCTATGGCATGCATTACCACCTCTGTCAGCCCTGGAGTCACCACGAGCCAGTGGAGCTTGAGTTAACCCTTCTCCAAGTCTGTAGGGCAGTATTTCCATCTGATCCTTCCACTCTTCTTCAATACTTCCATATGGAAATTATTACCTTCTTAGTTTTTCTTTTCAGCGTTATTATACTCCACATGCATGTGTACATATGCCTGCTAGTCCATTACCTTCTGGGCAGGTTTATTTTATAAATATTTGTGAAAACCTCACAGCCAGTAGAAAAACAACTTTGTTAGCTGCTACTAGCCTGCTAGGCACCCTCTAATCCCTAGTGGCTCATAGAGAAAAAGGAGGCTGGAGAAAAACTTAGATTAGCAGGAAGCTAACGTAGAAATAAATGTGGAAGTGATTTAAAAAAAAAAAAAAAGAAAAAAAGTCCAAGGAGATCTGAAGCTTGCAAACCCACAGCCACAGAAACCATAGCCTCCCCAACAGCTCCATAAACTCATGAGCAACTCTCACTGCATTCCCTCTGCTCCTGGTCTATCCAGCTGCCTATCCAACACAGGGAAACCTGTCAGGGAAACACTCTCCCAGGTGATTTCTGCTTACTTGCCCCACAGCTCAAGCAATAATCACATACAGCATTCCTACAGAGAGGTCTATGATCTTCTTGGACACCCTTGAAAAAAGGTAAATCTAGACAACGACTCCGCCACACACTGCAGCCCCCTCCTTTCTCAGCCTACAACCTTCTTCCCATACCACCTCCCTCTCTCTTCCTTCCCATTATTTATTCCTTGCTTTACATCCCACCTATTCTTTCATTTATTCAAAGGGCATTCTCCTTTGGGATTTTGATTTTAATTTTTAAGGTTTTGCAAAACATGATTTGTTGGCCTTAACATGGTATATACAGCATAAAACTAACGCTCAAAAGCTTTCCTCTCACCAAGACAACCTATTGTTTGTTTAGTTGGTCTGATTGCTTTTTAAACAAATAGCAGCATAATTCCTAGTATCTCCATGTCAAACTCAACTAAAAACTAATTGATATTACTGGTAACTGTTTTATGTCTTCCTCTTTGTATTTGAAAATAATCAAAACAGTCTTAAAAACAAAGAAAAAAATGACAACAACATCACACCAAAATCAAACAAAAACTATATTTGCCCAAGAAAAGAAATCCAGAGTAGAAAATTTTAGCCCAAATGGTAAAAATACTGCCAGCAACTGAAAGAATTTTTTGACTGAAACTCTTCCCTTTTATTACATTTATTAACCAACTGAAACCAACTGTGTAAGATTCAAGATTAAAATAAGTTCATCTTGTAGCACAGATAATGTTTTGAATGAAGTTGTTAGTAATTGTCAACTTCATTTTCTTTCATCAACATCAGCTCAATCTGCACTGAGTAGACATATTACAAGGTGAGAAGACATAGCAGAGACAGGAAGCCTTCAGCAAGATCCTATGGATATGGAAGAGAAAAACAAACCACACCAAAAAAGCTGTACAATGACCTAACGCATCTTAACTTACACTGAAGATCTTATCAAGACTACCTCACCACACTAGAACACTACTTACGTTTCTGATAGAGATCTTGCCTTGAAGAAAATAACTCAAAACAGGAAGCCTGGGAATTTTTCTCTTGAGAAAAAGCTGTATCCAGCCTAAGATAAAAAGGACTCAAAAGACTAGCAAAATTATCCCATCAATGTAAAGCTGAGCAATAATGGAGAAATGGAAGAAAACTTTCCACACCCGGCCTTTTACGGGTGGGGAGATAAAGGCATGCTTTACCCCAAAGATAATATAACTTCAGGAGACCTACTCTCAACCCAAAGAGTGTCTCCCAATGAATAGGAATGCTTTGACATGCAATAGGAAGAGAAGAGAGTATAAGCTTCAGGATTCCCAGGGACTTCATCCTGAGTGGCCTCCAATGCAAGTCTATTCAAAATCCAGATACAGGTTCCATATTTCACTCCACACTTCAGTTTGTAGAGATCGTTCAGTTTGTAGAGTCACTTCAAAACATTTTGCTGGCATCTTTGCCAACAAAGGCAAAGTTGGTCCCACCCATTATCTACAGTTTGTGGCATCTCTAAAGCAAGATTTATTCTCTTGGGTAATCATGCTCCTACTTACAAGACCCAAAAGAACAACACGAACTACAGGAGACAGACAGCCAAAGCACAGAGCTGCAGTGCTATCAGGCTGACATCAAGTGACCAGCTTGAGCCAACTGAGTGCCTGATCAACGCAGCAAGGGAAAACTCCTATTCATTTGTCCTCCATCTCTACTCCCAGATAAATGCTTCTTGTGTCCCTCTGCTCCCCTTCTGCCAGCACTCCTCTGATTCACTGAGCCAATTCAACTTACTGACCTCAAACTGAAAGAAAACAAACCCAGCAAAAAAGCAGAGGTATATCATCCTACTGTCACACCTGCAACTGTATCTCCTTTGAAAGTAAGGAGGGAATCTTAGGAACAGCACAAAAAAAAAAAAACAGAGAGGTGAAACTCCTTTTTCACAAGGGATTGGGTTGGCCTAGTGACCTTGTTCTAATTCACTGCTTTTTCCTGCAGAAAACAGTAATCAACACAAGAGCAAGAGAGTTTGCAGACCTGGGATATTTTGAAGAACCATTCTAAACATGTACTAGGGATACTCACCATACCAATGACTTCCCTCAAGGCAAAATATTTTTCAGTCAGATCCCCTGCTTCACTTAGTGGAGCATCATAGTCGTAACTAGTGGGTTGTGACATATAAGGCATATTAGCACCTAAAAGAAGTCAGGAAGAAATAATCAATAAAAATGGTGAAAGAGTTGTGTTTTTCTTTCCCAAGGGGATCAACTTTCTGAATTTCTCTCCAAACACAGCCAATGTACTTTTAGATTCGATGTAGACTTTGGTGTTTGGGATTCAGCACTGAGAATATATTCGTTATGGAGAACAACATCCTGCTGAGCTCACACTGCTGTGATAATGTCTTCAGAAATACTCTGAAGAGAAGCAAATTTATTCATGTTTCAATTGCTTCACAGTATTGAGTAAAGCAAAAGTACCCTTTGCAAAGGTAAATACCATGTGTTTAGCAGAAAATGCTGGCAATAGCCAGAGAACTGCTCATGCAATCATCTTTTGCCATGTGAAGGCAGGCACAGCTTACACTTTTACAGAACATGTTACTAGAAGTGGTCCATATGAACCTAATGAGGTTCAACAAGGCCAAATGCAAGGTGTTGCACTTGGGCCAGAGCAATCCCAGGTATTCATACAAACTAGGGGAAGAACTCACTGAGACCAGCCCTGTGGAGAAGGACTTGGGTGTCTTGGTGGACAAGAAGCTGGACATGAGCCAGCAACGTGCACTTGCAGCCCAGAAGGCCAACTATATCCTGGACTACATTAAAAAAGAGGTGGCCAACAGGGAGAGGGAAGCGATTGTCTCCCTCTACTCAGCTCTTGTGAGGCCCCATCTGGAATAGTGTGTCTAGGCATGGGGTCCCCAGCACAAGAAGGATGTGCAGCTCTTGGAACGGGTCCAGAGGAGGGCCACTAAGTCAATCAGAAGGCCGGAGCATCTCTCCTATGAAAAAAGGTAGAGGAAACTGGGCTTGCTTAGCTTGGAGAAGAGAAGGCTCCAGGAAGACCTCATTGTGGCCTTTCAATACTTGAAGGGAGTGTAAAAACAGGAGGGGGTAAGGCTGTTTACATGGATTGATAGCGATAGGACAAAGAGGAATGGTTTTAAACCAAGACAGGGGAGGTTGAGGTTAAATATTATGAAGAAGTTTTTCACACAGAGGGTGGTGACGCACTGGATCAGGTTGACCAGAGAAGTTGTGGATGCCCCATCCCTGGAGACATTCAAGGCCAGGTTGGATGTGGCTTTGGGCAGCCTGGTCTGGTGGTTGGTGACCCTTCCTATGGCAGAGGGGTTGAAACTAGATTATCACTGTGGTCCTTTTCAACCCAGGCCATTCTATGATTCTGTTTAACACATAAGCAGCTCCACTGTATCATAAGATTAATTTAAATAATTTCTTACCATTCCAATAGGCAAAGTTAGTTCCACCTATAAACATGTACCTAAAACAAATCAAAACAAAAAAAGCCATCACTTTAATCAGGTTTTGAAGAAATGGGAAGGAAAAAAAATCATCACAAATTACCCTTCACTGAAGGCACACTTACAGGTTAACATTGGCACCACGTGCCAGGATTTCATTAAGTGTTTTAGCTATAGTTTGTGAGGGTACAACAGCATGACGGTGCCCCCAGTGATCCAGCCATCCAGTATAAAACTCAGAATTAACCTGAAAGGAGGAAGGGAAAAATATGAAGAGGGTGCAAGAACAGAATGCAACAGGACTTCGGTTACTAGCTGTAAGAGAGAAGGAAAAAAGGTACCTTAAATCATTTTAACTATTTTTAAACTTTTATAAATCCAGCAGAGTATACATTTAAATCAGTCTTTTTTAGTAGGTGACTCTAAACTATCTTTTCAATAACTTTGTACATGCACTTCGAAAATCATTGCTTAAGTACTAAAGAACACAGATTTCCTTCAAACCTGTTAAACTGAATGTTTCAGATTGTTGGCATAAAATAAACGATGGAACAAATACATTCTCTGCAGAGCAATATTTGTAGATTATATTAAATGCAATGAAAAATAAATCTTCCAAACACTCAAGTAGCATCCCAAATGATTTTACAGCACAGAAACAGTTCCCTTAAAGGGTCTTCTCTCTTTGTCAAAATGGTTTCCAATAATCTCACATCCCATTATAGGTAGAAGATGTAGAGTAGCCGAAAACAGGAAGCAACATTTAACCTGCCCTTTTAATTTTGCTTTTTAACTTCCACCCACCCACATACATGACTAAAGCATCTAATCATACTGTTTCCGCTGCTATGTAAACATTTGTCTTTATAAGGAAAAATACTGAAAATTGGTATCTCTTGGGACCAAAAGAATATCTGTAGAACACTCAGTGTGGATTTGACAAACTCACAGAAGCTCCTCTGCTCAGCTTTTCTGACTGACTTAGAAATGACACCTTTGTAAACGTTCCTAAGAAACTGTTGTCAACTCCTCTATTATTAATCATTAAGATTAGGAATGATATAAGAATGTAAATTAAAAGACATACCAAAGGGCCTGTAGGTTCACTGCTCCTTTGAGCTAAGAATGCTGCTGTGACGTTTCCACCTATAAACACATAGAAGTAAGATTGAGTTGCAATATCCCTGACTTTTTCAGTTCTTTTTTTTTTTACTGGAATAAGTGCCATACCTCCCTTTCAACGTCTAGTAAAAACAAACAAGAAACTTTGGAAAATGTAGGAATCAATATGCTTCATTCTAGTGCTTAAGTTGCAGAACTTATTTAAAATGCACACGTGAATTCATGCATATATGCACATCTCTGTTTTTGAGGTACATCCTCTGAAAACCCAGCTCTTCTCAGGAATGACATCTTGGCACCAAAAACCCTGAGATGTGTCAGAATTACTACTCAGTCACTGGAACACATTGCCCTGGGGTTGTGGTAGCAAGAAGATGGGGAAGAAGTCTTTCCCTGTCAGGCAGTTTGTAAAGAGGAGTTTCACTTCTGAGCAATCCTAGTGGCTTAAAACACAGGAAACAGAAATAACTACTCCTATGAGTAGCTCATTGTCACATGAAAGATACACATGAAGGAGTTATTGATTTCAATCCATTTATAAAAAAATAAATTTCTACTAGAAGTATATGTTTGACTATAAAGAGAATAACATACATAAGTCACAAATGCAAAAGAAATTGGAAAGATTTATCTTTGAATTTGTTTCTTGTGCTTTAAGCCTATTTTGCCAAGTCTGTGCAGTATATGAATGTTCACAGCATCAACCGCCCTCTTCTATCAAATGAACACTTTCCAAACACATCCTTCAGGCCCATGTCAGAGCAAATTGTGACAGTGTGCACTTTTTTGGTAACAAACAGCTGTCTCCAACCTGGGGCAAAGTCTACTGTCGCATAAAGACCCTGAAGAGCTCCACATTTCAAATGAAACTGGCTTGCACCATCAGTTGTGAACAGCACCACCTCATCCCCAAGATGCTGGCGAAAGATCTTCAGAAGGAAACGCAGATAGTCATAGTCACAAGCAAAGTAGCTTCCGTACTCATTTTCCACCTGCACGGTAAAAACAAGTCAGCAGAGCAGTAAGTAACCAATTCGTTTGCATCTAAAGCCAAAAATTGCAAGTTTAAATCCAAGTCTCTTTTTCCTTTTACAGTAATGCTGAAAATGCCATTTAAAATTCCAGAAATGAAGAATAACAGAAGGGAACACTTACAGGCACTCCTCCCTCTCACCTGTATCTCACACTGCAGCAATCACTGCAAGGAGATTCAAATAAGCAGCTCAAAGCTTTTGCTACAGTCAAACACTAAGAAAATTGAACAAGTACTCCTACATATCTAGTAATTTAAGAGGAAATACACAGCACTGTACCCTGAAACATTTACAGCTCAAATCAGGCCATCAAAACAAAAAGGTCTAAATTTTGAAGCTCTCCTGGATAAAAGTTTGAGGCTTATTTCATACTGCTCTTGCTCCTATCTGCAGCAAACCCTCCCATCAGAAGAGTTCAAGTAACCATAATGTATTTTGGCTCACTGTGAGAATTGGCATAAACCTCAGATCTAAAAAACTCCGTAAGTTTTCTCTATTGTTTTCCACAGTTCTGGGGAACAACTTTGATGGAGCACTCTGAATTCTGCAGACAGTACCTTCAGTTCTTTAGAATAAGAGACTCCAATGAATCTTCCAGCTACCTTAAACTGTTAATAAACTTTATAGTACATTACTAGCCAACACTTATGGAGCATCCACAAGAACAATATATGTATCCACGCTGCTTGCACTCATTTGTTTTTCAGAAAGTTACCTGCACCATGATGATTGGACCTCCATTTTGATAGAGGTGAGGCTTCATCTTTGGCAAAAGGACCCCCATCCATTTCTCCACTGCTGTCAGGTAATCTGTAAAGCAAAAAGTATAGGCTATTCACAACTTCTCCACTTTTTTCTGTGTCTTTTTTGTTTGTTTCTTTGTTTTACTGTATGTGTAGTTTTTACCATGTAAAACAGACAGATGTAAATAGATATAAATTTCTAAATATTGAAGTATATCAGAACACCATTTAATGAACTGATGTGTCCTTACACTCATTCAAAAATGTCAGCTTCCACTCCAGTTTACTAAATAATAAAACATCAAATACTGATGAACTTTGAAAAACACCAGAGACTTCAATGTGTCTCATGAAAGTTGTCCTAATGCATTTCAACAAGTGTTTCTATCTGTACTATTTTTTTAATTTTATTTTTTCATAGATAGTTTTTCTCACAGCAAGCAGAACTAAAGTCAGGTACGATATGGATCTACATCTTTGTCCCCAGATCCCCTCTCCAATATCCTGTCTCACCTTGTGTCTACACATCCTGTCCATGACATTAAGAGTGCTGTATTTAGCTCTGGAATTCCATGCACACCGATCAGCTAGGAAGAATTCCCACAATGAGTGGCCAGTTGACTGTTGTAAAAATCAAAAAAGTCAAAGCTGAGAGCTACTTGCCATTTTCTTAATGACGACAATTTTTTTTACTTGGTATCAGTTTGATGAAACTTGTCAACAGTTTTGAAACTTACAACAGTTTTCAAATTTAATTGCAACTGATGGTTGTTTAAGAAATTCTTAACAAAAGGTCTCTGGAGCAAAGAGACAGGTAGGGTAACTCCATCCTGACCTTGTTGTGTTTTTTTTTTTTTTTTAATTATTTCAGTCATTTTCTTAGAAAATCAACTTCTGAAAATAAAACAAACAAACAAAACCCCACAAATCCTAGGACATGATCTACCTGAAGGACTCAGCCTGTAATTCCTGAAATGACAGAAGGTGCATGATTTTCGACCCTTCCTTGTTTGTTAAATATATTTATTGAGTGCAGTTTTTAACAGAAATATTAGAATATGAATTTTCTGGAAATAACATCAAACAGTAAGCCAGCTTGTTGCTGAAGAATATTTTTGCTGGACATTTCTGATGTCCTGCCTACCTGAATCAGAAGATCTCAGAACAATAGATTCCTTCTCCAACAGCCATGCAGGAAGACCACCCTGGGAAAAGAATTGGAACCATTTCAGTGACCACTTTCAGGAAATAAGAGGAAGTTAGTCTATTATCAAAACGCACACTTAACTTGTAGATTTATTTCTATATAAGCAAAACAGCAATCAACTTTGCAGTGTAAGAAGTCAGTCAGAATACATTGGTTTAAATATAGAAAAGAAGTCTTTTTGATGATACATCAAGTACCCTTGTCTACTTTAAGACAGAAATCCTTGCATTATATTTACCCTATAAACAAGGTAACTGTTACAAAAGGCTGTACCATGTCCCATTCTGCACAGATGTAAGGTCCAGCTCTTAGGATCACCAGCAAGCCAGTTTCACTAGCAAGCTGCAGGAAATACTCCAGATCTCTGTCACCAGAAAAATCATACATGCCCATCTGGGGTTCATGGTAATTCCATGGTACATACCTATAAAGAGAGGAGATAATCTTACATTAGAAAAATAATAGAGCCCTATTTCAACGCAGTAATAAAACTGCCAAACAAGCAGACCAGCGTTTGAGACAACACTTCTCTCCTACTTTCAGAACGTAGGAAACCGCCACCTCATCACAGAATCTCTCTCAGAAGACTAAAGAAGAGGAAAAAAAAAACCTCTTGGCTGCAGAGTAATAAAAATATTAGTTATCTACCAACCATTACAAGAACTGTTGTAGCTTACAGCCCATGCAGAACAACCACGAGTTGTCTCTTAGCCCAGCGCTGTGGCAGCTGTAGCAGAGGCAGACATAAAAATTAGAGATGGATACAGCCTAGATAAGGATTTGAGAGAACAGGAAAACTCATTCTCCATGCATTTACTTTTTGCACATAGGTTTGTGATTCCTTTAATAGAAGTGTTGCCGCTGTTCCAGAGTACAGATTTGAGAAAGTGCGTAAAACCGAAACTGTGGTTAGCCAAGCAAAGAGCCTCTCCAGCAACACCTTTCTTGTTGTTTGGGTTTGTTTTTAGGTTCCAGCGTTAACCCGGTAAGAACTACCCCAACAGGAAAAGAAAATGTAGAAAACACTGCTTTCAATAATAAAGAAAAAAAACAGGAACCCTCACACGAACACATTTATTTAAATCACCTGTGATCATACTGGAATCAGAAATACATGCAAATGAACAGATAAAAATGATAATGCTTCAGAAATGGTAGTTAGTATCATTTTCTCACAAACGCCAAACTCCAAATCTCTGTTTGAAAAGTGAAAGCTTAAAATTCGTATGCCAAGACAGAGTGTAAGCAACATATTCAGAGAACAAAATGCAGATTTTTCTCCCTCTGCTATATATTTTATTTGCCAACCTGATGTAATTGCTTCTGAAGTATTCAATTAACTCACTTTTTAGAGCAAAGCAAACACGCATTTGGTGAATATGTGAACCACGCTGAAATACATTAATTGTTAATTTGGTTTTGTGTATTTTGCCTGTGTTTCAAGCAGAGAAGCAAGCTGATCAACGATGTTTAAAATCAAAGTAGATAAAGTAAGTAACTATTGAAAAAAACCAACATACCTCAAAAAGGCCAATACAGTAGAGTACCATACTATGCTTGCTTTCCCTTTTCAATATGCCTTTATCCCGGTTACCACTGCAGAAATAACTTAAGTTTGCTTTAAGCACTAACAGCTATGTTACCTTCAGAACTATTGTTCTATATTACATATATGTGGCTCAAGATGATATCTTCCTTACAAAAAAGAAAACGAATAACAGGAAAGAATATTATAGAAAATAACATGCCAATTTAACTCCAAGCCTAGGAAAGGTACCAGAAAAGCTACAGCATGATTCATATCATGATGTGATTAAAAAAAAAAAAAAAACAACGAACTAGATTTGCCAAGAGGAGATATATCTAGTTTCATTCTTTCAAAGTAAAACTGGCCTAAACAGCTAGGGGAAAAAAAAAAAAAAGAAAAAAAAAAGATGATGTCTCTTGACTTAACAAGGCTTTTGGTAGTGTGATGGATGACATTCCTAGAAGCAAACAAGTAAAAAAAAAAAAAAAAAAAAAACCCAAAAAAACACCAACAGATAAGTTGGTATAAGATTAACAAAGAACAAAAATTAACTGAAGCATAAGAACCAAGAATTCGAAATATCCTGCTGCCTTCCCAGAGAAAAGTATGTCATGTTTCTTTGCTGAGTCAAGCTATATCCAAAGCTTTTGTTGCCATCTGATTGGCAAAGGTGGGGCAGGTGGAAGTCCATCAGCAATCACGTTCAAGTTTCTACTTGTTCATAATTAATCAGCAACATGGCCTGATATCAACATGAAATTAAGAGTTATCACTTTCTTCTTCTCTCTTGCAAAGGAAAAGGCAAAGATAAAAATTTAAAATGAAAAGGACATATGACAATGGCATTAATAAGAGGAAAAAGGTGTGTAGGTTCTACTATAAGTTACCACATGGCTATAAATCATCAACACTGCAAAAGAGACAACTCTATCTGGGTTAAATTAACAGGCATATTTATGTAGCAATTCATTCCCTGAAAAAATACACCTGTTTGAGCTAAATAAAGATGACTTGGTATTAACTTTGTAATTGTTAATTGAAACATTGTAAGTTTCTCATTGTCTGAAAGAGTGCTATAGAAAGACAACAATTGCTTGTAGTCCTTTCTACTCAGGCTGCCCAGTAAGTTATTCCTATTCCTATAAAGAAATTATAAGTTCATGTAAGAAAAGCATTGCAACTGTAATTTAGCTATACCTTGCAACCTATTACGTATGAAAATATACCCCTTGGAGGCTTTTAGGAACTTGTTCAAGTAATAAATCTGAACATCTGAACATAATGAGATAGGGATGAGGGTTTCACAAGATCCCTTATACTCGGAATAGAAAAAACCTGAAAAGTTCTTTCAGAAACAATTTTTGTCCCATGCTGCCTCACAAGGTTAGAAATAAAAAATAGTAAAGAAAGAGAAAAACATATTTGAAATGCTTTCTTACAGAATGAATGACAGTATAAAAGCATCTTAGACTGCTTTAAAAATTCTAATACACTTAAATCCATTAACATATTTTCTACAGCTAGCAATGACTTCAAATCATTTAACTTCAAAATTATTAGCATTAGCAAAGTATGATTTCTATATGCCATTGTATAAATTAATAGTTCTTACTACTGCAAGAATAATGAATGTATAAAGAAATGCCACATTCCTTTTTCAAACTTGAAACTCAGTGCTTTTTCTATATTTGAATAATAACATTTAATCTCCATTTACATACAATTTCTAAGCTTTAGCCCATAACCTTCTTTTTCTTTGAAACTTTTTCCTCCTATTTCAGAAATACAGCAATAGGCAAAACAACAACACTTATGCAAAACACAGTACAGTTCTCTCTGTAATACTTGTGTTGTGTTTTTTCCCCCCCCACACACTTTATAAAATTAAACACTCCTTTCATAAGTAATAAAACAGCACTTTACACATACTAATTAAATTACATGAGTTTTAAAAAAAGCAAACTGTGCTTTTTTCATGGAACACTAAGTGTTGGAAAAAACTTCTAAGATTATCTAATCTAACATCATCACCACGCTCACTACTTACATTGCTCAGTGCCACTTCTACACACTTACTGAACCTCCAGGGTCAGTGATTCCACCTGTCCCTGAGCAGCAGTACCTCACCACTCTTCTGGAGAACAAATGTTTCCTAATATCCAACCTGAACCTCTTTTGGTGCAACTTGAGGCCACTCCCTCTAGTGATATCAGATTCACCTGGGAGAAGAGGCTGACCCCCACCTGCTGCAACCTCCTTTCAGGTGTTTATAGAGAGCGATCAGGTCTCCTCCGAACCTCCTTTTCTCCAGACTGAACAATCCCAGCTCCTTCAGCCATTCCTCATAAAACTTGTGCTATAGACCCTTCACAGCCTCAGTGCCCTTCTCTGGACATGCTCCAAGGTCTCAACATCCATCATGTAGTGAGCAGCCTCAAAGTGAACACAGTTGAGATGCAGCCTCACTAGAACTGAGTACAAAGGGATGATCATTTACTTACTCCTGCTGGCCACACTAGTTCTGATACAAGCCAGGATGCCATTTGCCTTTCTGGCCACACTGCTGGCTCATGTTCAGCTGGCTGTCAATTAGCATTCCCAGATCCTTTTCTGACATGCATATTTCGGGCCACTCTGCCCAAAGCCTGTAGTGTTGCCTCGGGTTGTTGCGACTGAAGTGCAGGACCTGCCTGGCACTTCATCCTGTTGAACCTCATACAACTGGCCTCCGGCCATCAATCCAGATCCCTCTGTTGAGCCTTCCTACCCTCAAGTAACTCAATACTTCCTCGCAACTTGGTGTTATCTGCTAATATACTGAAGGTGCACTCAATCCCCTCATCTAGATCATCAATAAAGATATAAAACAGGACTGGTACCAATACTGACCAGCTGGATTTAACTCGATTCACCACCACTCTCTGGGCCCAACCACTCAGCCAGTTTTTTACACAGCTACAAGTACATCTGTCCAAGTTTCTCCAAGAGAATAGTGTGGGAAAGAGTTAAGGCCTTACTAAAGTCTAGTACCGTCTAGGATATCCACAGCCTTCCTTCATCCACAAGGTGATCACTTGGCCATAGAATGAGATGAGGTTGGTCAAGCAGGACTTACATTTCATTAACTTATGATGGCTAGGTCTTATCACCTGCCTGTCCCTCATATGCTACATGTTCACTCTCAAAACGATCTGCTCCAAGACCTTTCCCAGTACTGAGGTCAGTCTGGCAGGTTAGTAATTCCCAGGATCCTCCTTCTACATGGATGTCTCTCCAGTTATCTGGGACTTCCCAGATTGACTAGGACTGCCAATAAACAACAGAAAGTGGCTTAGCAAGCACATCCACCAGCTCCCTTAATACCCTTTGGTAGATCCCACCTGGCCCCATAAATCTGTGATAGTAGTCTAGGTGGAGTAGTAGGTTGCTGTTTCCTTCTGAATTATTGGGTTTTATTCTGCTCCCCATTCTAGTCTTCCAGTTCAGAGGGCTGAGAACCCTACAGGGTTCTGACTGCTAAAGACAGAAGCAAAGAGGGCACTGAGTATCTCAGCCTTTTCCTCATCCTTGGTGGTAAAGTTCTGTGCTGCATCCAATGAAGGACAAAGAAGCTCCTTGGTTCTTCTTTTTTAATGCAAAAATACTCTAAACAGCAGTTCTTTCCTACATGGAGTTTCTATAGGTGTTTTTTCCTAATAAATATGATTTTTTGAACTTTTAAATAACTGCTAATTCTTCCAGGAAATTTCTCAATTTCTACAGTCCTGTAAATATTTAGCTCCATCTAGCAGATGATCGTTTATCTCCTCCATGATAAAACCTACAACTTTCAGTTCTACCCAGATGTTTGTGACTGTACCCATTTCTAGTTCATATATCATAGTTCAGAAACTGAAAACAAGGACAATCACAGTTGGGTGACCAGATGTCCCTGCAAGTAGCATGCAGAGGGAAGCAGAAAGGGGGTTCCTAGGTGTAATACCTCATCTTCTGGGATGTCACACCACATAATCAAATTTCAGTCTGCTATTTGGAAGGGTTAGATGTCAATACTTTCAGCTTTAACATAAGATCAGGATTCTTACAATATTCTCAAATGATCTCATATCCTCTCGTATTCTGTTTCTGCTTATAATATTCAGGTCTAAAGGAGGGCAACAAAGATGATCAGAGGGTTGATGCACCTCTCCAATGAAAACAGGCTGAAGGAGCTAGCAGGCTGAGAGAGTTGGGTTTGTTCAGACGGTAGAAGTGTCTGCGGAGACCTCATTGCAGCCTTCCAGTACCTAAATGGGCCTACAAGAGAGTTGGAGAGGCACTCCCTCTGGTGGAGGTAGGTATGAGACAAGAGCTGTTATAAATTAATAGAGGATAGATTTAGATTAGATGCTGGAAATAAATTCTTCGCAAAGAAGATGATGAGGCAGTGGAACAGGTTGCCCAGAGAAGCTGAGCTTGTCCCAGCACTGGAAGAGTTCAAGGCCAGGTAGGATGGAATAACTCCAACCAGTGAAAGATTTAAAAGATGGCCCAAACACAGGGCATCCTATAGCCACATTCTGCCAGAACATCTGGCATTGCTGCTGCCTATCCCAAAATGATTTCACACAACTAGTATCTGTCTCTCGCTAATACTTTCACTTATCCACAAAACAGTAAGCAGGAAAAGAAAAAGACAGAAACACAACTAAATAATAATCATTTTATTAAAAATATACAAAATCACAGCATAACTATTTGGAGTGATGTGGAAATTTATAGCTTCACATCAAATAATCAAGAGCTGTACAGCTTGATTATCTGCAAGCACACCCAAAAAACGTCTTTATTTTTTTTAAGAGAAGAGAGAAATTAGTGTCAAATGGTGAGATTCATGTATTTGATTCTTATAGAATATGCAGGGCTCTGAGGTACTTTCTGCCTGTAAGATACACATTTGGGACCTATCTTTCACCATAGCAGAAAAAAAAATCCAAAGGTAAGTAATGTTGGGGGAAAAATATAAATAAATTCCAAACTGTTGTACGGTGGTGGAAAGGAGGTTGTGATAATCTTTTTTTTTTCCCGTAATTAATGATCCACTAAAAACAGCTAAGGCTGCAGCAAGTCAAATTTTCTCAAGGAAACACAGCTGTATCATATCTTTTGTACCTGAACATAAGCAGTCCTGAAGACCCTATACTAGAATACTAGAAGTATTCCTGTGCTTTATTTAAAAGATCCCAAAAAGCAAAAAAATGGGGAAAATGGAAGAGGGAAAAAACCAAAAGTACCACCCCAAACACTCGTGTAAGAGTTTATGAGAGGAAGAAGAAGGAAGCAATGGAAAAAAAGCAACGGGAAAAAAAAACAGAAGAGGTGGGGAAAAAAATAATAAAAAAAGATTCTTATAACAAAAGGCCATGCAGTACAAAAACGAACAGGAAATTTCAAAGAAACAAGGAAGAGACTGCTTGAAAAAACTGGAAATGAAGTGAGGGCACTGAAGGTGTATGGGGGTTGGCAGTAACATGAAAATAAATCCAAGTAGTAAGGGAAGAATAAGACACTTTGGGTCATAGGAGTTACAGAGCCACTGTTAGGACCTAGGCTAACCTTCAAACCAGATATTAAATGATATAATTTTCAGGTCTGTTTGGTAGTACTTTTATTGCAGTAAAAAATATTCACATGGACATCTCCTGCAACTGTGTCCTGACATTCCTGAGCAAGCAAGGTATTTCATCCAGTTGTTCATTTATGTGGGAAGACAGAATGTGCTTACTTGATTTAATCAAAATGAAGAAACAAAGTCACCACATTATCACAACAGAGTGAAGTTTTATGAGGAGAAAAAAAAAAGCTACAAGTGAAAAACAAAAAACTAATGACAAAAAACCCACCCTACCTTCTTTTCTTTCCCTGCCACCTCTCCAGCTCTTCACACACCAACCCTTGCTAATCAAAACACTAAGTGTACAAGGTAGCCCTGCAACTCACAGATTAAACAAGACAGGTTTTCAGAGAGAAAAAGCAGTGCGTTCCCACTGAACAAACTACCCCAAACAACAGGCTCTGCACTGCCAAAGTCAACACTGTTCAATGGTCCACAGCAAAAAAGGAGAGTTTTAAAAGACATGCTCCAAGCCCTGTAATGGTTTAAGAAAGAAAGAAAACCATGCATGGTAACTGCAACCATCACTTGAAAAGACTGTTCATATTCACTTTTCTGCCACTCATCTTCCCTTGCCATGAAAGCCGCAGTGAAGGTTTGGTAGACACAACTGACTGTTGAGTTTTTTAATGTTCACTTTTGTTGTTTTTGCTATTTGGTGTTTTTTGTTTCTTTGTTGTTTTTTTTGTTGTTGGTTTTTTTTTTTTTTTTTTAAGTGCCACTCTTATTTCACAGCTATCTCCCTAAATTTAAACACTCCTGGTGAAACAGTTATACATATTTCTACAGCCTCTGCCTAAATTTTCAAGGCTTCAGGGCAACACAATCTCAACTGTAATTAAGACTTTACTGTCACCTCTCACCTAGCCTGCCTCTCAATACGAGATTATGATGTCCTTTGGCAGAGGACAGGATTATCTGTTACTTAGTTGCCAAAGTTCACAGTCCAACTACTTGTTTCAGGTCACATTTGCATCCTGGATTGCAAAGCAGTAAGCATTGCCTAATAGCATGGAAGCAGGCTGTTAGCTGCTATGCTATGCTAAGGTGGTCATCATGTTCCACTTTTTATTTTGAGAGCTTTCTCACCTACTACTTAAAAAACAAACAATTTAATTTAAAAAGTAACAACGGTAGCATTCCCCCTTCACTACTTCTTTTGGGTTTCCCAGGACTACAAATAATTTTGAAAATGAGCAGCTACTTACGTTTGAATTGCATCCAGCCCAGCCATCTTCATCTTCAAGAGGCGATCTTTCCAGTAATACCGGGGCACCCGGGAATAGTGAATGCTGCCAGAGATGTAACGGAAAGGGCGCCCATCCTTGACAAAGCAGTTGCAGTCATAATCAATCCCAAAAGTCCTCTGGGGTATATTCTGTGTACAAAAAAAAAAAAAGTTTTAAAAATTATACAATATAAACTTTTTCTGTTATGAGAGACATGAAGAACAGTCTACCACTACACAAAAATATACCACGCGTATTCTCCTCTTGCAGCAATAGAGTGCATAGTGCTATCTTTCCACAGCAACACATTTTACAGTGCAAGTGATGACTACTTCGATAGGGGAGATCTACCAATTTGTGGAGTGCCAACACACTTCACTCACTGAGGTTTTGGAAAATACAATTGATTTCCAACTCAATGTCACACTAGAAACAAAAGCCAATTGGGATCTTTCAAGGAACAAATACCATGCTCTAAGTGCTCCATGCCATGGGTAGAAGCAGGACTGAAAGCTTATTTACTAGTAAATGTGATATTGTGATAGATCAGTCTAAAGAATTTACATATTGATGTAAATCAATGAAGATTAGTCATTTTTAGAGACAGCCCTCCTTTCAATACTTTTCCAGCTAAGAACACTTAAAACATTTACCCAACAGCAAATTTAAAAGAAGCAGGAAAATTCAGCAGAAGAATCTGCACCTCTGACACAAAACAAACATACTTTAACTTCAAGATCACTAGGAATACCCCTCAAGAGCCTAAATTCATTAGTACTCAAACTGCTGGGAACAACAGCAGTACTACTTTTTGTTTTTCGCAAGTTACTTGAAACAAAAGGACAGGAAGACAGATTTTTATTATTTAAGTGCATGGTCCTATGCCGTTAAGAACCTTTAATTTTTATAAACCCTACCATCTTGCATCTTACATTTTCATCACGTATCTTTGGCATTTCTGTCTCCAGTACCATTTCTGACCTTTCAGTAAAGGTCAGTAGGGATTTATGAAGTGAAAATTAAGGTTAACAACTGTTAATCAGTTAGTTTCCTGCCTATCAGAAATATGTAAGAAGTCAAACCAACACAGCCCATATTTCATTGGGCAATACACTACTATAAATAAAACACACCTTTTAATAGCGTAAATTAAAACCTTCTGAAGAGCACTGACTTGTTTTAATCTGGAACAGGTGAACCTTGGCCTACCTCACACTAGGAATGGAGCTTAACAATTAGCAAACTGACTGAATCATAGCATCACCCACGTTGGAAAAGACCTTAAAGATCATCAAGTCCAACCACAACCTAACCATACTACCCAAACTTTAACAACCCTGCACTAAATCAGGTCTCTGAGCACCACATCCAAACGATTTTTAAACACATCCAGGGATGGTGACTCAACCACCTCCCTGGGGAGCCTATTCCAGTGCTTAACAACCCTTTCTGTAAAGAAGTTTTTCCTGATATGCAACCTAAACTTACCCTGGTGCAACTTGAGGCCATTTCCCCTTGTCCTGTCACCAGTGAGAAGAGACCAGCCCCGCTCTCACTGCAATCATCTTTGAGGTATTTGAAGAGAGCAATAAGGTCTCCCCTCAGCCTCCTCTTTCCCAGACTAAACAGCCCCAGTTCCTTCAGTCTCTCCTTGTAGGGCATATTCTCCAAGCCCTTCACAAGCCTTGCTGCCCTTCTTTGGACCTACTTACAGAGAGTGCAGTCAATTCCCTCATCAAGAACATTGATAAAGAGATGCCACCAATAAGTCCAGGTGTCCCCAACTGCACAAGAATCAACCACTATCACAGGAAATCTGCCCAAATGTAAGTAGGGACCAACAGACTACAAAGTTTTGAAGAACTTTCCCATACAACCACTTTTTTCCTGTTACCAGGTGAACAATTTCATTGTAAATCTGTACTACAGAAAAAGTGAAGTGAAAGGAATGGAAAAAGTGACCTTCAATAGGCAGGTGTAAGCACAAGGGTGCAAATATCAAGACTCCTGACCAATAGCTGGACAACACTGCCAACCAAGAGTATATTCTTTATGCAACCAGACAGAATAAAGGAGTCAGTCTAACGTGTCACAGACCACAAGGACAGGAGTACAAATAAAGGATAGGGTACAAAGTAAAAAACAAACAAAAGAAACCACCTGCATTGCTAAAATCCAGAGGAAGAAATTACTGAGTAAACCTGCCTAACCCTAGACTGTCATTAAAAGGAGCAACTCAGTGTGATAACAGAACACTGGAGGACTACAGACTCCAGGGAGGAGATAACTACAGTGTGTTGCAACTGTGATAAAGTCACAGTCCTCACAGTAAACCTGAAACAAAGTTGTAGAAAGCATCTTACATGCACACTGCATTCTGCAAATGGCAAACAAATGAAAGTGCTTGTTTCACATACAACAACAGAAAACATAGAGTCCTAGGCTGACAGCGCAATAAAAACTGGAAGATGAAGGGACTATAAAGCATCGCACATGATGACTGTGTGTGATTTCCTAAACATATACAGTGTTGTTAGTTTCACCTTCCAAATACAACTACCTAAATCCTGGAAGTAAAGAAGGATGGTCCCAGCAGCTGTTGTTCCCCTATGAGAGAGAATTCTAACCCCCTTACTCACACTATCCACGACAGGGGCCTTTGGCAAAGACACTTTAGTGCTGAGACACTGCACAATGAACCCACTGCTTGCACAGCTCCATTTTCAGGGCACAGACATCTCTGGCAGCAAAAGAGGGATTTCTTAAGACAATGAAAAAAAAGTATT